AAGATATTTATGTATCTACATCTCGCTAGGCCTGGCTTAGCCATGGAGGGAGATGAGCTTTAACAGCTGAAAGCTGTGCATACTCCCGCGCACACCCACTTGCTAACACCATGTCACAGCCTGATCCAGCCCAGGGAGGCAGAGATTTTGGGGGCCCCATCAGAGATCTGCTGTGCTCTGAGCCCTTAAAAGGGCTCGAGAGATGGTTCAATTGAAATTCAGTTTTCTCCTCTATAAAATGGTGCCGATAATACCTGACAACACTAGATTGCATGAAGAGGAATATGAAAGCGCATTGTGAGTGGTAATAAGCTGCATTAACAATTGTTGTTAATATTATTACCACATATTTCTCCAGCGTGTGTGTGTGTGTGTATGTGGGTGTGTGTGTATGTGAATGCAGGATCAGAGGACTTCAACTTATTCATGGCCAGTTTGGAAAAACTGACTCCGAATCTTAATATCTGTACTTATTTGATGATCTTAGGAAAATTGTTTAACTTATCTAAGCCTCACTGTATTCAGCTATAATAGAATCCACTTTATAGAGTAGTTAAGATTAAATGAGATTTATATATACATATACATCCATATATATAATGCTGTATATATAATAAGCCACTCAATAAATGTTAACTACTAATATTTTTATTCTTGAATTGCATTCGCTCTAGAACGGCTGTTCTTTGTTGTCAAGCCTACTTGTGGAACTGGTCCTTAGACTCTGGAAAGATGTGGGCAGGTTTTCCTCATGTGTTGGCTGTCTTTTTATCCGGAAATGGCACTGCTGACCTATTTTCCACGGGCAGTTTCTCCATCACTGCAGGTGGATTTGTGCTGGTCCATCTACACCTTGAACGCTCATGACCACAGCAGAGGCCCAGACTGAAGTCAGGCCTGGGCGTGTGGCTGCGGCCGTGGAGACAAATACACTCATGGACCCTGATTTGATTTTCTGTAGAAAGTGTACTGTACTCAGCTTCTTTGGATGCCAGAGTACTCTGTAGCCTTGGGCAAAAAACCTAAATTTTTAGCATCTTGATTACTTCAGATGTCAAATATGAATTATGTGAAATGCAGGGATGTTGCAAGAATCAACTGAAATGCCATATGTCAATGGTTCTCAGTCTTTAGCCTCATCTGGGCTGGGGCCTGAGAATTTGAATTTCTAATGAGTTCCCAGGTGATGCTGATGCTGCCGGTCTCTGGCAGGCACACCATGAGAACTCCTGCCACATGTGGAAAAACTACAAATGTGTGATACCTCGATGTTACTATATTCATCAATGGAGCTAATCAGTTAGATATTGTTTCTAGGAAGCAGAGACATATGATTTTTTGTGTTTTTGTTTTTGTTTTGGTGGCTGGCCAATATGGGGATCAGAACCCTTGACCTTGATGTTGACATACAATTTTTTTTTTTTTTTGTCTTTTTCCGTGTCCGGCAACGGATCGCAACCCTCAGTGT